CACAAACATACACACAACTGCAAAAGACACACACAAATGCAACACACACACACACACACACGAAAACAAACACACACATGCAAACTCACAAACAAACACACACAAGAACATACACAAACACACACACAAATGCAAAACACACGCACACATAAACAAACACACAACTGCAAGACACACACAAATGCAAAACACACACACACACATAAACACACACAAAGTCACACACACAAACAAACATACACAAACACACACACACACACACACACACACACACACACACACACACAGAGAGACACATGAAAACAAACACATACATGCAAACTCACACACAAACACACACAAGAACACACACAAACACACACACAAATGCAAAACACATGCACACATAAACAAACGCACCCACACAAACACACAGACACACGAAAACACACACACATGCCAACTCACTCACACACACACAAACAAACAAACAAAAACACACATACACAAACACTCACACACTCATACAAACACAGAGCGAACTGAATTGTGCTGAGAAATACATCACATAATGACAGTAAACAGCGGTCAATATTATTAACCCCCTGAGAATCTTTTCAGATCATCTCCAGCAAAGCTGAACACCACTGTCCTGAAGAACATGTAGTCTAATACTATGTGCTGTCATCATGACGAAGACAAAAGAAATCAGCGATTAGAGACGAGTAACACACACAACAGCAGCACATCTCTGGCCGGACTCCTGAGTTACTTCAGCTGGATCTGGAGGGATTCGTCATCAACTCTTTCATCAGCCGCTCGCTTTCTACTAATAACCTTTCACTCCAGGAGGATCTCAGTCTAAATCCTGATCTACAATACTGTGCAGACACCAGCACCAACACAGCTGAATCATCATCATCATCATCATCACTGTGAAGGAGGACAAGAGTCTCGTGTTCATGACTGACTATCAACACTACATCAACCAGAAAAACCGCTCCTGAAGGTCAGAGACGACAACAAGGGTTTACAAGATT